ATCGCTGTGGTTCTGGACTGTGCTCCGTCACTCGAGAGGGGCTTGGCATCATACCCAGCACCTCCACCAGATTTGTAACGCACTTTTCAATAAACTCTTTTATAAGCTAACGTAGGCTGGACGAACTTGTGCCCGAGAATTATAGCACAGCTAGATTGTCTCGAGGATTTCCTTCTGCCTCTTCTTCTACGTTCTTCTTTTCTTTAAACCCGGTTCGCGCGCAGCTGGGTCCCGCAGGCTCGTGCATCGCAAATCATCTAGAAGGCACAAGTATTTGCTAGCGCGCGTAATTTGAAGTCACATTGTGTCAATACATATTCGATGTGTTTCGACCAGGATAGGTTGCTTGTGAAAACAATGCCAAGGTACTTATATCCTGTAACTCTTTGGAGGTTTATGTCAGCGGATGAGTACGTGAAATTAGACAGGGAACGTTTGTGAGTAAAAGACACGGATACTGTTTTGCGGAAATTTACGGACATCTGCCACGTTTTACACCATGCGCAAAATCTAGAAAACGACTCGTTTAGTTTTTGGTGACACTGCGGTGTGCTAATGGTGTCATATAGTTCGCAATCGTCCGCATAAAAACGGATTTTAGAATTGATGTTGCCAGGCAGGTCGTTTATGTAGATCAGAAATAGCAGTGGTCCAAGGACCGAGCCCTGGCAAACTCCAGAAGGTACGTTAGAATTATTGGATACGGAACCATTAAATTCTACGAATTGCGTGTGATCTGAAAGAAAGTTTTCTATCCACTTGACCAAGACAGGGTTGTTTAATATGGCAGTTAGTTTGCATATCATCTTAGTGTGAGATACCGTGTCGAATGCTTTGGAAAAATTGATGAAAATGGCGTAGACCTGCTCTCCGGAGTCAAGTGAACAAGAAATGTCGTGAACGAATTCTGTTAATTGCGTAACCGTGCTGAAAGCACTCCTGAATCCATGCTGAAACTGAGATAATAGGTTGTGTTGTTCTAAATGCTCCATGATGTGTTTATAAATTATATGCTCCAGTAGTTTACAAGAGTAGGAAGTCAGTGATATTGGTCGATAGTTAGTAATAATATGCTTTTCTCCGGACTTAAATAACGCAATTACTTTTGCCAGTTTCCATGAGCTAGGCACTATGCCATTTTCAAGGGATTTCTGAAATATGACAGGAAGATATTTGGAAGCCCAATCGGAATAACGGACCAAGAACGCATTGGGAATGTCGTCCGGACCTTTGAATTTCTTAGTGTTTAAGTTTAATATTAGGTTGAGAACCCCCTCTTCGCTAATAATAATGTCCGGTATTGATAAGAATGAGCTTGTACTATGAAAAAGAGAAACTTCAAGGTCGTTGCGAGTGAAAACAGACTCAAAAAACCTTTTGAAAGCTTCGAAAATTTCCGCAGGATCATTGGTTGTTTCATTGCCAATGGAAAAGGACGCTGATGCGGCACCGCGGGGCAATATTGATGACCAAAACTTGCGTGGGTTATTGGATAACAGGTTCGGTAGTTCTATTCGAAAGAAATGGTTTTTTGCGGCGTTTATTTTGACCCGGAGTTCTTCCTTTGCCTGAAGAAATCTACAGTGATCATAAGAGGAACAGCGTGACCTCGCCTGCCTCTTCCTACGTACCCGACGTGAAAGATGCAAGATGTCACGGTTCAACCAGGGAACATTAGTATTTTTCTTTTTTGTTTTGATCGGTACAAATTCCAGAGTGCAAGTTTTCACCAACTGTTCAAAGAAACCAACTAAAGCATCAACATCGTTGCGTGTGGCGAGTGCTAAAAATTGTTCAAATTTATCAGCTAAACAGTCGAGAACGGAAACGTCATCAGCGTGGTTAAAATCGTGAAAGGAAGTAACCACGAATTGCCGTTTCGCAATCGAACATTGCAAGGAACTAGCACACCCTTGTGATCCGAGATACCGTCGATAATCTCGCATTTACACGCGTTATGTAACATATTTGAACTTAGAAATACCAAGTCAAGGAGTGCATTATGCCGGATGTAGCCAGTTACGATCTGGGTAAGCCCGAAGGATAACGAAAAATTGATAAGCTCACCACGAATATGGGAATCGCGGCCGCTGTGAGTCAAGGAAGGCCAGTCAACTCTAGAGGCGTTAAAATTCCCCATAAGAACAAGATGCTTGGTGCCGAAGTTGTGTGCGTTTGCGAACTCGTTAAGAGTGTGAAACATATCATGGGAGGAATCCGGGGGGCCGTATATGACACCAATTACAATCTGAAGTTTGTCGATGTGAAGTTTGCACCATATTGATTCAATGCCAGAAGGACTAGGCAAGACTGAGAACCGTAAGTCCGACCAAAAGAGCAAGGCTACACCGCCGCCTCGGCCGATTCGTCGATCGACACGAACCACGACATATCCGGGTGGTGTAAATTCAAAGTCATATATAGCCTCGTGGAGCCACGTTTCAGTTATACCAAAGATGTGTGGGGAATATGTCGAAACGAGACAAAGGAAGTCGGGGAATTTGCGTGTTATGCTTCTTGCGTTAAGGTTAATAATAGTTAGTTTGGGTGCAGAGCTACGGGGTAGTCAACACTGAGTTCCACGGACGAGCGGCGCGCTAGAACTACCGGAAGTATTCAGGGGCGGCGATAAGCCCTGTGAAGGAACTTTCGGGGAAGTCCCAGGTTTATTTGTAGCGCAGCTATGGTAACCAGAGGCCACAACTAGAACATTCGATGCGTCGTTCCAGTTGTAGTGAACGTTGCCGATAAATACATGGTCATACACTATTTTAACTGAGGAGCCATTATTGCGGAAAGTGGAGGTCGCGTCCCATAACTTCTTGCGGATAGATCGCACTCTAAAAGAGTAATCTTCTGAAATGCTGAAATCGGAGCCTTTAAGATGTTTGGCTTTCTTCAAGAGAGCCATCTTGTCGTTAAAATTTAGGAGTTTCAATATGATCGGACGCGCCAGCCTTTCACGCGGTTTGCCTAATCTATGTATGCGCTCTACGCGTGGCATTTCCATTTTTATTTTCTGCGTGACGAGTACAGACACACTAGACAGTATCGATTCACCATTCTCGCCGGCGTCCTCTGGAAACCCGTGTAAGATAATATTATTTCGCCTGGATTGATTTTCGAGCTCGTCTATTTTGAGGCTGAGCTTTGCAAGTGTTTTACTTGCCGAGGCACCTTCAGCGCGTAAGGCTTCGCACGCAGTTTTCCCCTCGCAGACAGCTGTCACAGACTCGAGTGCCGCCACCCGTGATTCCAGCGCATCGAATCTTGCGTTGAATTGTGTTTTTATGTTTGCTATATCGCTAGCGATTTGATTTTGGCTTGTGAGTATCTGAGAAAGCATAGATAAAACGGTAGTATTTTCGGGCTCGTTTTGTGTAGCATGGGCTGACGGAGTAGGCAGTGTAACTGCCTTCGAAGATGCATTTGAAGTTGTCCTAGATCGCGTTGCGCGGCCATCTGAGTCTTTGAGAGGTTTATTTTTAGAACCAGGGCCAGGATTTAGTTCGACGTCGCCACTAAGAATCAGGCGGCAAACATTATACAACGCACGCAAATATAGCGACACAACACCAGGTGGGCAAATGAGCAGCAGCAAGAAACAATCGTCAGATCTCAAGCAGTATGCATGGTTTAGGTAACGTATCTGTGCAAAGAAGACGAAAGGATTGAGCACGGTGTTCGAGCTGCTGCCGCCTTGCCCACTGGTGAAGCACAGTGCAGCCAGGACTTTTATACCTGCAGTGGAAGACGTCACATGCCAGTGACGCTCGGTGACTGGGTGATCAGTAGTGACGTTCTTGCTTTGGTGGGCGCGCAAACTGTCAGCTGAAGTGCTGCCGAATCCAACGATGCTATCAAGCACGGGTAGCGCATGATAGCTTAAGAGCACGCCGTCGGTGAGGTGCGCACGCAGTTTCGGAGCGTCTGTCGATGCCGCAGCAGTAGATCGCATCGTTTCCAGCGTGGTGACATTGTGCAACCATGGTCCGGGCAGACAGCAGGCAATCTGTGCAAAGAAGACGAAAGGATTGAGCATGGTGTTCGAGCTGCTGCCGCCTTGCCCACCTCTTCTTTTCGGTTGCCGCACCTGTTGCCGGGATCTACTATATTATTGATAGTGTTTATTAGGACTAACGAAGTTTTTAATCGGTGAAGAAAATACATAGTCTGGTAGGAGAGTGCGGTAGTTAACATACCAAGTGACAAAAATTTATTTCAGGTGGTGCTGCAAAATACAAAACAACACATTTCTCATGTCAGCTTAAAATTCGCCATATAACCATCGTGTATTTGGGCAGAAAATATGGATATGAAACTTTTTATTTATTTCCTCACCTATTAGCAAACCTATTTTGTCATAATCACAGTACAAATTTCATAGCAAAAGATATTATTATTACCATATTCTTTCATAATAATGTCCTTTTACAAAGCGCCTATAATTCAGGAACACACATTCAGATGCTCTGTTCATGAAAGAGCTTTTCCTTGGAATGGGTCACCTGAAAACACTTGTGTTGTACTTGTAGCAATATATTAGCAGCCATGTGGGCTTTTTCACGAGAGTTGAAGGTTGATACGCTAACATGCAGCGCTACATATTGCAAGCTCTACGTAATGCACAGACGCGTCCAAAGTTCCCCGCTAAAAATTGCAGTAAGGCAAAGTAAACATTGATCTGTAGATTACAACGACTTTATATTAGTATTTTCACACGTACTAATAGTTCGTCTACCTGTAACGGTAGCTCACCTGCTAATATCACACGGCGGTTATTCTTTTAACCGCAACTGTAATACTTCACCGAGCCTGTGTGCTAACTTGGAGGAATCGCAGTGTGCTGTGCTTCACAGCAAGTGACACGGCCATTCTCTCTCAAGGTTTTACGTTAATTAACAGCAAGTCCTTCGTTAGGTTCTCGCGGGGCCTTAGGTGTAACCGCAAAGTCAGCAGGAACACGTGCAGTCTAAAAGTACTGTAGCGGCAGATACGTTTCACTGTGACTCTATGTCAGCCGCAGTGGTGCGGCTGGGCACGTTGCTGTCGGTCATGGCTGTCTCGTGCAGCTTGCTCAAAAGGATGGGACGCGTGCGCATGGGGGACATCGGCACCACGGACACCGCGACGTCGCCGGAGGCCGTGTTCAGCATCTGCATCACCTGCTGGTGTGTCAGACCCTCCAGGTTCACTCCGTCGATGTGCGACAACACGTCTCCGGGGTACACCATGCCGTTGTTCGCAGGCGTTACCTCAGCGTGCTGCAAACAATGAGCAAGATGAGCTCACAGATTGCAGAACTTGCGTCCGGGCCTGACCCTCGTGGCAGCGCATCATCAAGTTTTCGTGATTATTACCAACCTATTCACCCGAAATTTCGCTCTTCTAAACATACAGAAGATGTATCACGGTTCAGAAAACCTAAAGCTCACTTGTTCCCAAAACATCCTAACCAAGTAAGTAGGCTCACTTCTGCCACAACCACTTCCTTCAAAGCATAAAACTGTGCTGCAATTTATTAATATATAAATACAATATTTAGGTAAGCGATAAGTGAGACCAAATGGACGTATACAGATCAACGGCACTGATTTGAATACAACCGCTGCTCTCTCGTTGAATTTCCGCTACCATCTTGAAGAACGTTGCAATATTGCGTTTTCAAAAAGGCCCAACATGAACACATAACCTCCTCTTAGGAGAGTGAAGATTTACTGCATGTACTTACAACGGTCACCACAGAAAAAAAATATTTGGTCTATGGGCTATATTGTTAGTCTTCAGTTAATGCAGTGCTGGACTGCCGTTCAAGCAGAAATACTTAATTCAATAGTTCGAAAGACTGAAAGCCATTTTGCACCATCCAATAAGCTCACTCTAGGGAGTTTTTGGCGGTTTCGCAAGAGCGCCGGAATATTCTCAAATGTCTGAATTTCGGCAGTTTGCTGTTACGTTTGCGTCTTGAATATTGTCATGTGCCTGGGCGAAAAGCGATATTATGGGTTTCTCCTGAAACCATTCCATCTACCAATTTGAAGTTTTGATCTTGTTCAGACGAACCCTTTATCATAAATATCGCTTATTGCAATGGTGTGTGTCCAGATAAGATCAAATATTGATGTCCTGGTCGTCGTCTGCAATTCTGATGAAGTTTGAGCTTAGGCAATTTAATGAGAACAAGCATTGTTTGTTTCCTTACAAAATTGCTAAACTGAAAAATATTTTAACATTTATTGGCAAAAAATACTTTTTTCTAGTTTTATGATCTCTGAATTTTGAGCACACCAATGTAAACAAAATGATGCGCCTAATCACAAAACTTAATCTTGTCAGATAACAGGTGATAGAAAATCTTATAAAGCAATTATTTGTTTACGAGGCGAAAACATTTAGAATTTAAAACTGCATCACATGTCCGTATTTCAGGCCTAAACTGATTTTAATGAGTTAATGAGCAGAGAGTTCATAAGTGTGAATAAAGTAACACTTTCTTGTATTCCATAACTGGTATTAAACGTAAGTAATGTAGCACATTGGGCTTGCTGAAACATACTCATCACAATCAGCGCAAAAAAAGGGGAGGGGGGCACGAAAACGTAAATAGTTTACCAAAACCACCAAAATTTAAAACAAATCCACAGGAATGCCTGTTCTAAATTTGAGCTTGCAGCTGTGTTGTTCTGCGCACTTATTTGCCGAATTCAGTATCGGGGTAGGGGCAGACATCCTTTCTGTCTCCTATGTTAGTTCAGGCCTAGCAGAACTATGCAGATTACCGATAAGGTTTTAAACATGTAAATGAGCTTGCCATCTTTACGTAAACGTATACACGCGGCTCGCTGCAAGTGTATGCGGATTTTTATTTATTCCTCTCTTGAGGATATAACACCCTCGAAGAGGAATAAATGAAAATCCAGGTACAGTAGCAGCAATTAAAGCATTAAAAATCAATAACGGCACTAATGACAATAATGGAGTTCACGATGCTGCGGCTGCAATGATCACTGGAAAGCTAAAAAACACTTCCAAGTTTATTTACTCTATAAAGGTACAGCTGTCGTCTTTTTCTGTTTCTACATTGCTAAGCAATCAATTCTCCAAAGCATGAAATTTTCAAAATCAACCCTGGGAGCAATCAGGAGGCGCCTACTGCGTAATCAAGGAGCGGGCCAGAATTCACATCGCACCCGCTTGCACCCGCTTGCCAGCCTCTGCGGCAGTACGCGGCACCCCTCTATCATTGACGAGACGTTCACGTGGAAGTGAGTAGTTAAAGGTTGAAACTTCCTAAAACCTTTTTCTGCACACCCGAACTGCCGCAGCCATGCGGCGCCACCTGATCGGGAACAATATGTTAGTAGAAGAAAGGGTGTGCAGACTGCGGACATCCTAAAGGTGATTGTCGGGAAAAAATGAAAGGTGAAAAGCCGCCATCACGTGACGATGATCTCACGGCCTAGTCGGCAGGCTCTGACCACACAACCTTGCTCGCCGAAATCAAGTCGTTCGTGCGTGAGGAAGTTGCCCGCCAGGTCACTTCACTGATTTTTGCTCCCCCACCACATGCTCAAAGGCCGTCAAGTACACTACTGCCTCCCCTCCGTCTAGCCGTTCAGCAGGAAATTGTGGATGTCGTTCCTGAATACCACCAGCCGCCTCCTGTATCAGTGCTACTCAGCAACGCCCACGTTGTCACCAGGCCTCCCCCACCGATTCTTGTGGTTGGCCCCATAGTTACACCGAAAGCACCGCCAGGCCCCAGGTCTTCAGAGAAACTGTGCCGCACACATACGCCGACGTCATCCACGTGCCCCAATCTCCGCCCGCCATGCAGTCCTATCAGCAGCCGGCTCGCCCATCGCGTTCTGTGACATGGATGGGACCCGCAAACCGATTGCGCAATTCTGACATTCGCCCCATCTGCTTTCCTTGTGGTTGCGTCGGTCACGTAGCACGCTATTGCAATCGTGTTCAGCAACCGTAGGTCACCCCTAACTTTCTCAGCCAATCGAGCCGCTCTTATTATCACCAACCGCCGTCTATGCCACAGTCGTCCCGCCCTACTCCGTCTACTCGCCGTTCACCACCTCCGCGACGTCGCTCCCTGTGGCCAATGCGGCTCCATCAATTCGAAGGCGACCACAAAAACTAGTCGACGCAGTCCACGAGGCAAGGGCTAACGAAGCTGTCGAACTGTGGAAGCCATCAAGGAAGCCCATCGAACTTGATGGACGTGCTTGTGGATGGTGTTCGTGCATCTTCACTTGTACATACTAGAGCCGCCGTATTCGTCATGGACGCAAAACTTAGCCGATTAGTGCGCAAAGTGACCACGCCACTTTCCTAACTCTACCTCCGTACAGCCAGCGCCCAAAGCATTCACCCTACAGCGATGTGTACAGCCCGCCTCATGAATCAGGACGTGATGTATGCAGTTGAATTCGTCATAATTCCTTCATGCTCTCACGACGTCATCCTAGGATCGGATTTTATCTCCCGCCACGACGCCGTCATTCATTGCGCACCAGAAGAAATAAAGCTCACACAATTCTCTTCTTTGACGCCGGCCGATAGTCCATCTGCTGCAGGCAAGTTACTCGCCAGAGACGACAGTAAGTACCTGCAAACTCGTCCGCAGCTGATGTCGGTCTACTGCGCAAGTCTTTCTGACACCGCTGCATTCTTCTCGCTATGTCATCGTGTTTTCATCAGAAAAGGCTTGCTGGTTCCTTTCGCGACAGTGCAAGTCAGTCACGGCAGCACCACTATTTTTGTTCTGAACTCATCCCCGTGCAGTGTTACGTTGGTGCGAGGGGAATGTCTCGGCAGCATGGAACCTATCGAAGACGCAAAAGTTATGGATCAACCGGATGACACGCACTGCCCACGTTCCAGTACGCTTAGTGCTGTTTTTACATCTGCTTCATCATCCGCTGATCCATTCGGTCTCTTCATTCCCGACAGCCTTACGCCGGGCCAGCGTTCCCACCTTCAGGGCTTGTTGGAAGAATTCCGCTCTTTTTTCGATGTCGCTAAACCTTCTCTCGGCCGCACATCCATCGTTACGTATCGCACCGACACAGGCATACAACCACCACTGCGGCAACTTCCGTATTGCGTATCTCCCACAGAACGCCAAGTAATCAACCATCAAGTCGACGACATGCTTTGCCGCAACGTTATTCGACACTCTGACAGCCCGTGGGCGTCTCCTGTCGTTCTCGTTGCAAAGAAGGACAGTTCTGTATGGTTATGTGTGGACTACCGTCGCCTAAAAAAGATAACTCGTAAAGACGTGTACCCATCACCAAGAGTAGATCACGCGATTGACAGCCTGCAAGGAGCAGAATTCTTTTCATCCCTCGATTTGCGTTCAGGGTACTGGCAAGTACTTATGGCTGAGGACGCTCGACCGAAGACCGCTTTTGTCACCCCTGACGGCTTGTACATATTCAACGTCATGTCATTTGGGCGGTGCAATGCGCCTGCCACCTTTGAGCGCATGATAGGATACCGTTCTGCGTGACGTGAAATGGCACAGTGCCTGTGCTGCCTCGATGACGTCTTCGTTATAGCTCTAAACTTGATTTGTGGGGTTTAACGTCCCAAAACCACCATTTGATTATGAGAGACGCCGTAGTGGAGGGCTCCGGAAATTTTGACCACCTGGGGTTCTTTAACGTGCACCCAAATCTGAGTACACGGGCCTACAACATTTCCGCCTCCATCGGAAATGCAGCCGCCGCAGCCGGGAATCGAACCCGCGACCTGCGGGTCAGCAGCCGAGTACCTTAGCCACTAGACCACCGCGGCGGGGCATCGCTCTAAACTTCTCCACGCATCTTCAACGCATGCGGCATGTTTTGATGTGCTTGACTGACGCCAATCTGCTACTGAACCTAAAGTAGTGCTTGATTTGCAGCTCGGCAGCTGTCAATACTCGACTACATGGTGTCCAAGGACGGAATTTGCCCTGATCTAGCCAACCTTTGGGCCGTGACCGAGTTCCCAAAGCTGACATCCGTCAAGGAACTGCGCAGTTTCGTAGGTCTGTGTTGCTACATTCGGCGCTTCATTCGAAATTTAGTGACTATTATATCGCCTCTGACGAAGCTCCAAAGGACCTCTCCTATTCATGATCGTCACAGGGCGACGACGCTTTCACAACGCTCCATCGTTTGTTGACGTCACCTCCCATACTCCCCCACTACGACCCTACGGCGCCTACAGAGGTACACACGCACGCCAGTGGTGTCGGCCT